GTGCTGTTTGAACATTTGTATGACAAATGGAACAAGGAAGAGTCAGTGCCTACAGGAGCTGCCTACAAGGAACATCAAGGAGGTTCAGACTCTGGCAACATGGAACCCTTGCAATATAGTAGCAATAGAAACTCCTGCAATATAATGACCACAAATGGTGACCCCGACGTGATTCGGGACTAAATTATATAACCCGTGGATTTGGGACTAAACTATGTGACCCCGTGGATTTGGGATGACCCCATGGATTCAGGGAAACAGGATTCAACTATATAACCCCATGGATTTGGGGAAAAGGACTTCAATACTAAACTATTGGTAAAATATATAAATTGCAGCTATTAATGTTTGTTAAATATAGGCACAAAAGATTTTGAAGGTAAGTACTTTGTAAACTGAGAAAAGCTGCAAAACTGAACTAACGTTGAGAAATATATATTTGAAACACTCAGAAATATATATTTGAAACATTTAGAAGTATATATTTGAAATATAATGTGCTGTTTGAACATTTGTATGACAAATGGAACAAGGAAGAGCCAGTGCCTACAGGAGCTGCCTACAAGAAACATCAAGGAGGTACAGACTCTGGCAACATGGAACCCTTGCAATACAATGGCAATAGAAACTCCTGCAATAGTGACAGCAGCCCTGGGGCAGGACAGGGTTATGCTGAGCCCCACCAGCACCCCCAGAACTCCCCATGGGGCTGAACCCTTCCCTGGTACCTCCAGGCAGGCCTGGACCTGTGGGGCCAATCCTTCCCAGAGCTGCTCCAGCTCCTCGGTGCTGGGTGGGGCAGGGACCGCCGGCCCTTGAGGCTTCTTCTTCTTCTTCCTCCTCACACGCTTGCTCTGGGGGGACAAGGATGGGTTCAGAGAGGCTGCCCGACCCCCCCGGGACCCCCAAGGCAGGGCAGCCATGTCTCTGTCTCTCTGGGAACCTATAAAGTGTTGCTCCTACAATGCATTTCCTTTACTGAACCTATGAAATCTATTTGCTGCTTTTAAAATAATTTTTAAAGCCATATTCATTATACAGTCCACTCTCTCCCTTAGGGTTTATATGCCCAGCCTATTCATGAATAAAATACTTGTAGGAATTATTCCTGAAATCTTCATAAATATATAACATATAATATACAATATACAATATACAATAT